GTTTTTCACCTAGCTCCTGCCCCAGTGAGGACTGGTGTGGCAGCAGCCTGCCCTCAGTATTGTGGCATCATGACAAACATGGCTGCGTGCCATGGGCACACCACTACTAGGATGCTCAGAGCCATACCAGAGGGTCATCCCTTGGAACTGTGTCAAAACACTGATGGTTTAAATGCATTTCAACCATGCATGTCTGTCTTAAACATGCAGGAATGAAAGAGGAGGGCCAAATGTCACAGTCATGTGTGTCAGCACTGAGCTGGAGACATGGCATTTGGAAAGAACTAGAATCTCAGTTAATTTAGACCGACTGCAGTTTTCTCTCTGTCTTGGTCAGTTTGTCCATTGGTCTGTCACAATTCATGCTTGACCAATCTGAGCACTTGCTGTTGAAGACTGAGGCAAAAAAGTCGTTAAGCACCTCAGCTTTCCCCACATCCCGGCTAACCAGGTCTCCAGCTTCCTTCCAGAGAGGGCCCACACTTTCCCCAGGCTTCCTTCTCTCACTGACATACCTACAGCAGGCTTTCTTGTTCTCTCTGACATCCCTGGCCAGATTTAATTCTGTCACGGCTCTAGCTTTCCTAATTTGCTCCCTGGCTACTAGGACGATTTCTCTGTATTCCTCCCAAGCTACCTGTCTTTGCTTTCATCCTCTGTAGGCCTCCTTCTTCTGCTGAGTTGGGCCAGGAGCTCCTTGTTCATCCATGCAGGCCTCCTGGTGTTTCTGCCTAACTTCCTCTTGGTCCGGATGCACCGCTCCTGAGCTTGGAGGAGGTGACACTTGAATACTGACCAGCTTTCTTGGGCCCCTCTTCCCTCCAGGGCTTTATCCCGTGGTATTCTACCAAGCAGGTTCCTGAAGATGCCAAAGTCTGCTCTCTGGAAGCCCAGGGTAGTGAGCTTGCACCCTCCTCGCTGCCCTACGGATCTTAAACTCCACCATTTCATGGTCACTGCAGCCAAGGCTGCCCTTGACTTTCACATTCCCCACCAGCCCCTCCTTGTTGGGGAGAATAAGGTCCAGCATCGCACCTCTCCTTGTGGGCTCCTTTCTCACTTGGAGGAGGAATTTGTCACCAATGCAGTCCAGGAACCTCCTGGATTGCTTGTGCCCTGCTGTGTTGTCCCTCCAACAGATGTCAGGGTGGGTCGGGTGACCCTGCTTTGGCAGGTAGGTTGGACTAGATGATTTCCAGAGGTCCCTTCCAATGCCTACCATTCCATGATTCTGTGAAAAGCCCTTTGTCACTGCTCACTTACTGGGTTGGCAAAAATCATCAGGCAAACTGGCAATAAATATTCTAGTTTATAGAAACTTCTCCAGTTAAGCGTAGAGTTTTATTTATTGGGTTTGGGATGGTGGAATATTATATGTAAGGATATGACCTACAATATGATTTATGAAGTGTGCAAACCAGATTTCTTTCTAAAAACACAGCAAAACTAACCTGATTTCAGCTGTATTAACTCAGATGTATAACTGATACTTTTGTTTGAATTGATCTGCTTTTGGGTAACACAACTGAAAAATTGTCATAATGGAAGCTCATTTTAGCAAAACCGTGGATGATCTGACAGAAACATTAAATATGGTGAAGGAAGTGAATAATTTTACCACCCAGAACTTTTATGTTAGAGTGGCACGAAACAAGCAGTGCACCAACAATGCTAATAGGATTCTAGAAAACTAATCAGATCTTGGGTATTTAAAAAATCATCTTCATGGTAAGGGGAATGTGTATGTGAAAGAGCTTACTCGTCTGCAGCTCACACACTGTTCAAAAGACGAATGGACATTTGGGATGGCAGAAGATTAGAGCAATAAAACAGTTGATATAAGAAGTACTAGCATGCTACCAGAATTAGCAGTAACAGCAATGAAGATGTTCACAGTAAAGAGAGCAGATGCATTTGCGTAACAGATCTAGTCATATCATTTACTGACAGCTAATTTGAAAGAGGCATAAGAGTGACTCCTCCAGAGTAAAAAAGTTGCTTTGCTGCCTGCTTATGGATGGTGATTTACAGAGTCACGTAGCTGTGCACCAAGCACATAAGGTTATCCAAACCCTTCAGGTGGTCCCTGGCCATACTGGGGTCCTGCTTGCCCACATGCTCTCTGTACATTGTCTTGTGTTGCGGACAACCATAGGGTGGATCTCAAAACAGTGTCAAGCTCTCCTTCCGCATCTGACACAACCCCACTGCCCAGCAGGAGATTTTCCAGAGTTGTTTTGCTTTCTCCCGGGGTAGAAATCATGCAAGCACAGAGGGAAGAACGCACAAGGCCTCTCTGTAAGTCAGGAAATCTCCTTCACGCATGACAAAAAGATGTATGGAATGAAAAGATTAAGTATGAGAGGGGAAGTCTGCCCTAATGCAAAAGGCTAAATTTACCCTCAGTAAGACTCCGAGGGCAGCCACTGTACAGCACAACGGAAGTGCCAGCCCACCTGAAAGAGAGGAAAGCGACAGCCAATGCTGAATTGGAATGACTAGTGCAAAATACCTTGACGGCGTATTTCTGTTAAATTATTTTTGGTTTAAGGTTGAGAGTGCAGTAATACTCTTATTGCTAGACTAATAGCTGAAAATAGCTTTTTGTGGGTTTTGTTTCACTGGTTGTTTTTTTTCCAAATCACAGATCAGCGAGGATTCTATTGCCAAAGTTTTCAGTTCTGCTGTATATGGGGAAAAGGAGAATGCTGAATTCAGAAGACCTCCACAGCATTAGTGCTCATTCGCAGCATCACAAGGGGGCACTGCAATTCTGGTAAGTGACTTCTCATCAGGCAATGCCAGACAGCTCATCGTAGCCAAACCACTGGATTAAGCATACAATTCGGGGGACAGAGCAATCTGAGAGCTCAAATTCCACAATCAATGCTGAGTACAGATTACAGAACTTTGCAAATGTTGTAATATTAAATCCTAGTTCAATCAAATAACGCATTTCCCCATCCTGGAGCCCATGGAGTCTTTTATCTTCAGTTCTTCTACCACACAGATGGTTGCTGCTCAGGAACCAACGATTTCACAGAATCACAGAATCACAGAATGTTCGGGGTTGGAAGGGACCTCTGTGGGTCATCTAGTCCAACCCTCCTGCCGAAGCAGGGTCACCTACAGCAGGCTGCACAGGACCTTGTCCAGGCGGGTCTTGAATATCTCCAGAGAAGGAGACTCCACAGCCTCCCTGGGCAACCTGTTCCAGTGCTCTGTCACCCTCAGAGGGAAGAAATTCTTCCTCACATTCAGACGGAATTCATTCCATTTCACTGGCATATATGTGTTTTCCTTTCTCATCACAGACTCCTGTAAAGTATCCAGTCTTCCTAAAAACCACCCAGTCTGAAACCACGTGAATATGTAAAGGGCTACATGAAAGGCAAGGCATCTTGAGCAGGGTCCTCTTTAGCCCAGGACTGGGTGCTCACTGGTTGTTTAACTTGCAGCACATTTCTCCTGATTTCTTTGGCTGAGTATCAAGAGAGTATGCACCCTTCTTCTGTTGAACTAAAGATGTTACATGAGGAGTTGCTTTTGTTATTATTGTTCAGAAATAGTTCATCTCAAGGTTGTAGCTATGACCACGGTTCAAAAAAGAAGCATGTCTTTGACTTCTCAAGACAAAGATGCTTTAAGACTAAATCTTTGATGCATATTTGTGTAACTGTCCTCTAAAATACTACACTTTAATTACAGAAGAAGGAGGATTAAATAACCTGTCATTAGAATCACAGAAACATAGAACGTTTTGGGTTGGAAGGGGCCTTTAGACCTCATCTAGTCCAACCCCCCTGAAGTGAGCAGGGACATCTTTAACTAAACTAGATTGCCCAGAGCCCCGTCAAACCTGGTCTTGAATGTTTCCAGGGATGGGGCCTCCACCACCTCTCTGGGCAACCTGTGCCAGTGTTTCACCACCCTCATTGTAAAAAATTTCCTCCTTATATCCAGTCTAAATGTACCCTCTCTTAGTTTAAAACCATTACTCCTTGCCCTGTCAGAACAGGCCTTGCTAAAAAGATTCTGCTCATCTTTCCTGTAGGGCCCCTTCAGGTACTGGAAGGCTGCTCTAAGGTCTCCCTGCAGCCTTCTCTTCTCCAGGCTGAACAGCCCCAGCTCTCTCAGCCTTTCTTCACAGGAGAGGTGTTCCAGCCCTCGGATCATTTTTGTGGCCTCCTCTGGACCAGCTCCAACAGCTCCATGTCTTTCCTGTGCTGAGGGCTCCACAGCTGGATGCAGGACTCCAGGTGGGGTCCCACCAGAGCAGAGCAGAGGGGCAGATCATGTCCCTACATGAGCTGGAAATCACCAATGCTTGTGAATTAATTGACTCACTCATGACAGTATCAAATGCTTTTTGTATCTTCTCTTGCTCTAAAAAAACCAAATCCTTACCAGTAAAAATGTCACCACAACACTACTGCAGAATTATTTTGCTTTATGCACATACACCTATATCACAAGTATGTGCAGCTTCATGATTAATACCTTCAGAATTCAGTAGCTGTCTTGCATAAAACAAAGGTTTCATAAACACAATGAAGACCAAATAGTATTTCTTTCTTGTTACTCTGCTGACCAAATTTTTGTCTGACATAACACTATCCTCCTGGCAGGGTGATTGCCACCTACCATATTTTATGTTGCCCTGTTAATGCGATTTTGCCAGGTTTTCCTGCCTTTTGTCTGCTGCAGCACACTCTGATGCTATGCATCTGCTGAGCACCTTCCTTCAACAATGTGTGCTCTTCAGAATTTACCAACAATTTACTCCATTTTCAACTTATGTTTCAAAAAAAATCCCCTGATAATCACATTTCCAACATATTGTTAAGCCAATTCCTGCAGATATTTACTGATATGAATAAAAACATATGTTGATGAAATAATTCCAGTAATCACTAAGAGATGAATTCAATGCACAGAAGAAATATGGACTGTAACATCACTGGGGAAGGTACAAAGCGAGGTGCGTACAGGTAACTTACCTGTCAAATAGTTCGCCACCAGTGACCAATTCCAGAACAAGACTGATTTCTGTAGGGGTCTCAAATATCTCCTTCAGTTTTATCTGGTAAAAGATGACAAACAGGATTCATTTTGCTTATTTGTCTTCTTACTGACCATATCACCGGACCACCAGCAGGAAACAGACCACAGTCAATAAAGCAGAGGATAGTAACAACTGAATATGGTGCATCATTTACCGTGCGGTTCAGAAAGTTTTTATGCATGTTCTCTCCCACCCTCCTTTTCTTTTTCCTAGCTTTCTTCCCTTTGCATTCCCTTTTTTTTTTGTTATTTTCATACTCCTCATATCTCAGCAACCTCTGTGTAACACAGGAGTTTAAGCAGCTGCTTTCATTAGCGTTTGTGAACACCTGATTGCCAGTCTTTCAGAGTTACTGAACGTAAGACCTTCCCCACCCTTCCAGGACTGACAGCAGCAACTTCCCCTTTCATTTACAGAACTTCTTTGCATAGTTTCTCACTCAACTCTGTCAGAAGATCAATAATTTATTTTAAAGTGTAAGTATAATTCAACAGTCTTCCATAATCAGCTGCTAATGTGGTCATGAGGAGAACCCAAAGCTCTAATCCAGGAGTCTCACAAGTCTGTATAGGTGAACCACAACAGTAATCTCTCAGGAACAGGAAGAATTTTTTTTTTTTTAAAGAAAAAAACGTGGAAAGGAAGAACAAGGCTAAACTTACAATGTTTGGATGCGAAAGGCGAAGAAGAACTCCAATTTCTGTGCGGACAATTTTCTTGTCTACCTGATTAAAAGTGGAGAGGGAATCAGTGAAAAATTTATTTCTATGTTCACCATAGAAACTTCTAGCAGCATCACAGGAAAACACGTATGAACAGCATTTCTAGATCTCCTAGGAGAACAAGGGGATGTGAAACGCACAAGCCAAATACACTGCAAGGCATAATTTTCCTTCAGCATGAGACACACAGCGTACCAGAAAAACACCTGCATCTAGCAAAATGGTTAGAAATGTATATGTAATTCACAGAGGAAGTAGCATATAGTAAAGACATCTGAAAAAGGTGCTAAAATTCCTATTTCTACTCAAGTTCTGCCCTTGTCTATTGATACTTATGTTTGTTCAGTTTATGCCAGCAGCTGTACTGGAAGAAGGTTTCTGCACATAGGATGTGCATATCAAAGCAGTGTAACACACCGCTTACAACAAAAAAGTGATCCAAAGGTCAAACACCCTTAGCCACACAGTGTAAGGTTTAACTACAGCTTGCGTCAGATACATCTAACAATGGTCTACTAATGCAAAAAGCTGTCTGCTAGGTTAAACCTTTGACAGCGTTAGTCCTTCCCTTTTGTTCTCTTCTCAGATGGCAGTCTTTAAGAATCTAGGCACAACCTATGACCTCTTGAGGGACATTGGTCATTTCTCACGTGTTGCAGAACTAGAGACTACTTCATTCAGGAAGGACAACTGCAGCTTCCCCTGAACTTCAGTGCTTAAGCAAGCAAGAAAGGAAAATGCTTGTAAGCAAATTCTGCAAGCTTTTATGTTGCTAAGGTAATTAATACATTTATGAAGAAACTGGCTTGCAAATATTCTCACAAACCCCAGAGGAATCTTACACTGATGACAATTATAAATGTATTTCTTTCACAGTACTCTTCATCTCAGGGGCTATGAAATGAATGAGAGTCAGTAAGCTAAGCCACTATCTGTTTCCAAACTGATGACACAGATGACATCAAGCAGAACATTTTGGGGAGTCATTGTGTGTTTTATTAGTGGAGGCTTTTCATGAAACACGTTTGGTTTTTCTTTTTATTTTTTTACATCACATGGGAAACGAACAGTCATAATACATGAACCTTTAAAACTACCTTCAAAATCTTAGTGAGGAAGACATGCTTAAAACATTATCTCTTTTTTCTGTCACCTGAAAGAACAGATGTACTTCTCAGTATTTTATCTTTTTCCAACAACAATAAAATCCGAGTATCAGTCACATTCAGAACTAGAGAATAGGCAGAATTTTATTCTCCTCTTGTGTCAATCAGTCAGGAATGATTTCAGGATAGTAATGCCACAGTGCTCCGACAGTGGTGTAAATGAGTGCAGAACCAGAGATCTTAGGGATTTCTTTGAACTCACTGACATTCAACCTCTTTTAGTGGCTCTGCCAGAAAGCAAAATGAAAGAAAGCAGAAACAACTTCAGACAGATTTGGTGCATGTAAGAAGCAGCAGAAAGCAAAAGTCAAAGAGGAATGAAATATTCCATCACGTGAACACCTCGTTGGAGGTAAAGAACATAGTCAATAACTACATCTTCAAAGGAAAATGCCTGCTTTGGGATCAAATACAGGACCCCTTGAGCTCTGCAATCATCATAGGCTTTATAAACTTGTTTCCCTTCTACTCCAAATGCAAGTGTTTCTCTACTCATCTGCTACACAAAAACTGAGCAGCAGGTTTGAAGAATGGTCTCCTGTGCAGTTTTCCTAAAATGCTGTAAGCTCCAGCCTGTGGTCTTACTTGGTTTCAACATTCCCTTCGCATCAGCCCTGTAATTCAACTCTGCATTACTTTTGTGAGTGCAAGCACACAGCCAGAAGATCCAAAGCTCACCACTCAGTAGCAAGGGCTCCTGGTGATTCAGAGAGTAATACCTGTTTGGACTGTTTTCACAGAATCATCACAGAATGGTCTGGGTTGGAAGGGACCTTAAAGATCACCAAGTTCCAACCAGCCCTGCCATGGGCAGGGACACCTTCCACTAGACCAGGCTGCTCAAAGCTCTCTCCAACCTGGCCTTGAGCACTTCCAGGGAGATATATAAGTAGGTACATTTTGTTGGAAGGAGCTGAAACAAGGTAAGTGTTGATATAGCTCTGTACTAAGTGTAGGAGAAGGTAAGAAAATAAACGTGATAAAACAGGCTCTCTCTAATGAAATGCCACGACTACATACACTACTGCTTGCACTCTGGAACAATTCATATCACTTATACATGCATGCTTCCCAATAGCCATTTTCCAGGATGCTTATAAATATGCAACACTCTTAAGTGTTTCTCTGGCGTATTTTGCCGTCTTAGTGTCTTGAATTTTTAGGTACCTGCTCCTGCCACCAACACGGGGCTCTGAGCAACCTGGTCTAGTGGAAGGTGTCCCTGCCCATGGCAGGGGGGTTGGAACTAGATGATCTATAAGGTCCCTTTCAATCCAAACCATTTTATGATTCTGTGATTCTCTATCAGGGCCAAACTTCGCCTATTTTTAGTTTGGGAAGGATTATCAGCAATTCATCGACTTGTCTTCCTGACAGAAATTATTTGATAGGATGACAGTCAGGCATTTCACTCTATAGCGTATGTTGCTAGAGTAACAAATTCTAAAACTTGGATACTTTAACCAAAACATCCTACTGCCACTAACGTTTGGGCAAATCAAGCATGTTTGACTTGGTCAAATACAGTGGTCTGACTTGTAATAACTGACCAAAATGAGGCTGCAACACTGTGTTAATTTTGTCTCCTCCTCTTCGGATGCAATTTAGATATGCAGTACAATATGTAACCATTTATCTGCGGTTTCCTTAAATTAACATTACTCACAGGAGCATCAGTTGAGACCTTTTTGAGTATATCGCAGTCAAGAATAATAAGGTCAGCAGTACTGGTTTATTTGTGAAGAGAAAAAGCAGTCAGATGTTAGCTTCCAGATGTCTCCTGGTTCCACTAGTTTAATGATTACTCTTCTACAAGTTTCATTTATTCTTTGCTTTTAAACTATGCTAAACGGACTAGAGCATGCTTGGTTGGTCGGGTGATTTTAACACTGTTGCGGTTTTACTGGGCTGTATTTTCTGTTGGCAAACTTTAAACTGAGGTCAATCGGGAGGCATTTTCTGTGATAGGCCTATGAAGCAGCTTTCTGCTGTGGTACATCCCTGTCAATTTGAGAATTCATTTGCCAGGTAATCCTGAAATGGTTATTTATCAGTTCTTTACCACTGACCCTAGGCAATGAAGACTTCACTGTCCGTAGACCAAGAAAACCAAACAAACTTGCTAGATAGCCTGTAATTATTAAAACTCGCATCTATACACTTCTACAGCTTACCTGTGGAGACATCCACATGAAGCACTAAGCTGCAGCAGATCTGCAAGAACTGCTTGTAGGTGCAATACAGACCTGCCTCGTGCTGTGGCTTTCAGTGATCCACAGCGGGCTTTGGTAAGCAAACCAGAAGCTGTGAGTGTAGCACAGGTAAGCATCTGCATGCCGGCTTTATTCTAACTAGACAAACTGCCTGCAGCAGCAAAGAACCAGCGATATGAACGTGGGAGCAAGAGCCAGTCCAAGAACCCAGTGCGCTGAACTGAAATGTCTATCTGTACTGCAGCCCGACGAGCGGCCTTGCGGTGTTACCGGAGATCACTATACAAATGGTAGCACGCTGTGTGCACTCAAAACTGCCACGATACATCCTGTTTACAGACAGATGGACACAGCCTTAACAGCATTAACAGAGTATTTCACGTAACCAAGGCCCAGGAAGTTACGACCACATCTGCAAGTTTGGGTGAATGAAAACATCCACACTCTTAATTTGTATTACAGCATTTACATTAAAAAGGTAACTATTCCTGGATTATTCCTAGTATTATGTCTCTGCAGTTATTTTACTTCTCTAGAAGTAGGCATTTATATATTTTATAGGTATGTGTCTACAAACATTGCGTCTTTGAAATTTGATACCAGTCAGGCACTGAGGTAGCACTAGGTGTCTAATCAGTGTATTTCTCATTTATAAATTTCAGAGTATTTTGACAAGAGAAAGGGCTGGAAAAATCCTGAATAAAAGCTGAGATTCTCCCATGTTTCCATGCCCTGAAATGGTGATGTGGAGTGATGCTACACACCCCTGAGATGTAGAAGTGTTGCTTCTGTCTGAATTAAATGAAACAAGATAAAACTAACTGTCACTGTAAACAGATTAATCCAGCTGCTGCCTTGCAATATGCAACACCATCCTGAAAACAGGTGGCCAACAGATGTACAGACCCCCTTTAACTTGGCAGAGAGCAAGAAGCAGAGCAATTCCCCATATTCCAAGTGCAGTCTCTGATTCCCTGCTCGCCTAGGGTGCTGTCGACATGGAGGGGAACATCTGGCCAGGTGTGACCACCATGCAGGTTGGGTGTTACTACTGTGCCCAGGCAAGTGGTGTGAAGCAGTCAGTGCAAACAGCTCTTGAGGAGCTTCACAGCACTGCCCACCTCAGCGAGGCTGTTCACCCCAGCTCTGCACAGCTCCTTATTTAATATCCCACTTACTGACTCACATGAACACCTCCAATTTGAGCAATGAATGCTTTCCCAAACTAGCAGGTCAGGCTCTGAGCACTTATTTCTCTGCATTTACAGGGAGCATGCTGCAAATCATTGTTGGCTTGCCATCACACTCTATTAAAAGTGCTTCCAAGAAACAATTTTTATGTTCATCTCAGCTAAAGTAACTGCTCTGCAGCCCAACCCTTTCTGTATTTTATGGAGTCAATTGCTAATTACCATTTATAACTTTGCCATTATTTTGTCTTCTCACTGTTAAGCTGAAATATTACCACCTATGCAGACACAGACTACCCACAAGCAGAACTGCTGATTCCCTGGTAGTCTAAAAGGTCTGTTACCAACTGTCACAACTACACATAGGGCCGCTTGGTTATCCAGGTTCTTTGAAAGGTTTCAAGAAAAAAGGAAATTAGCTTGAATTTAAACCT